AGGCTAGTATCTTTGCCTGGTTGATACTAGATCCAGGTATCCTTGGCTGTGTCTTTGTCTTATCCTTTGAGGCGTCACAGTTTCACCCACCATTGCAGGCCTCAGTAGGGATCAGTGACTCACAGAGATTCACTTACTATGAGTCCACTGCCCATCTCCAGACAAGGAGCCTAGGCCTTGGACAGACTCACAAGTAAACATGGGAAGCCAACTGATTAATTTAAGTCCTGCTCAGAGCTGCTTTGTAGGGGTCTCCATCAACTACTTCTTTTTGTTTTTGTAATTGCAGCAGTTGAAACTTGACATGGCTAGTTTGGCATCCCTTGTAGCAGACTAAGAACAGAAGTAAAAGGTACAAGTATGTCAATATCATCAGTTCATTGTAGAATCCATAACAGGTCTGTTGGCAGCAGACTTCATCACTGGTTTGACGATCTCTTCTCTCTATGGCCACAAGGAAGATTATATTTTATTCACCCATTTTTCTGAAGTCTAGTTTTAGCTACTCCTTGGATGGAGCATGGGGAGGAAAAATTAGGACTCAGAAGTAGAATGTGCTTCTCTTGCATTAGATAATGGTTAACACTGACTCATTCTTCTGTGTCATTTTCAAGTCATGAATACACACAGTCAGACTGACTTATTACAAACCTCTATACTTAGCTAAAACATATTTTTTCCTGTGGATATTTCCCTCATAGTCCTGGTCTTGTGGTGCTGCATTCCATACAGTTATCTTACTCTGTCTCTTGAAGTACTTTTGGCTATATAAAAGATCTTGGAAACAATTGCTTGGTTTTAGATTTCTCTTTCTGTCTCTGTCTGTCTCTGTCTCTGTCTCTGTCTGTCTGTCTCTCTTCCTCTCTTTCTTTTTCTCTTTCTTTCTCTCTGTTTCTCTCTGTCACTCTCTGTCTCTCTCTCTCACACACATACATACACACACACACATATACACACATCCTACTTGTGGTTTTTAAATTGTTTTTATTTTAAAACTAAAAGAAAGAAAACATTAACAGAGAGACAACCATTTACAAAATAGCAAAAGAACAATACAAATAATACAGAGTTACAAACAAAGTGGTAGGAAATTAACAATGCTTGTTGTATTACATATTAATATCTTCAAAGTG